TATGTTTTTCACTGATTCTTAGTTATATCATGAGAATGTTCAATTCCCCAAACAGTAATTTCAGCCTATGGTGCTGACTGCCAAGGAAATGTGCCTAACATGGTATAGTAGCTTCGTGTTTGTAGACAAGTTACACTGTCTGTTCACAGTCTGTGACTACTCCTGTGCTGATTTTCATGGAGTACATTTATGTATAAAGAAATGCTTTCTACTTTCATTCTACTTTCAAACTATTTCAAATCCTAAAAACAACCGTAATTTCTTTTTTCTTACCATCACAAATTGGACAGCAGTATTCTGGCCTGATGATGGCATGGGAGCATTGTGTCTGACACTGAATAGTTTCACAGGTGATTTGGCCTTCCAGACACAAACAATCTTGGCAGACATTACGCACTGGTGTCCAGTGAGACTGGTGATCATGACGCTCTCCTGTATCATCAATGCAACCTGCAAACCAGTGCAAACATGAACAAGACAACTGTCTTGGTGAGACCCACAGGAAAACTGTGGTACCGAATGGATTTGATTATTCACTTGTGGGTTCAATTGTAGGAAGAGTGTAGGTTTCATTCTGCATTCCCTTTCATTCTCTTCTTGGATTAATTTGCCATTGTAAGTTTCATCACTTTTTTAAGTGTGTAAAACTTTCATAAGGTCAAAATTTTTGACCTCAAAAGCCAGAAAATCCACGATGGACCCATTTTCAGTAAAATCCGTGCTCACCACTCTAACATTTGAACATTGCTGTGAGCAGTTCAGACAACATTCAACAGTGCCAACAAAAGTGAAAAGATGGATCTAAATAGAAACAAAATTTCTTTACTAAACAAATATGAACAAGAAGTACCTGTCAAAAAAAAATTAATACAAGCGTTTCACAATAGTGTGCCTCAAAAGAGTTGGCAATGCGTCGGCCAATCACAACGTGTGAAATCTGTCAACCCAATGTGCGTATGGAAAGGGTCAACAGATTTCGCACGCTGTGATTGGCCAACACATTGCAAACTCTTGAAGGCGCACTATTGTGAATCATCCACATTGATAAGTTTCCCACTGGTGCACATAATGCCCTTTAAACATAACAAATAGAAACATTAAACTTAATGAGACACTCTCTTGGTTTTCCTTAGTAAAAGAGGCTTTTTGGTCAAGCTATTGGCCTCAAGATATTTCCAAATATTTTCACCCTCGGCACATGGAAATTGGCCATTTCAAGTTTTTGCATTGCGCGAATTAATACACCTTTTTGCAGAGCGGGTCACAAAGGTCATCAACAGAGAAATCACAACACACCAACCTCTACAAACTGGGCAGCACTCTCCGGGGATTTCTTCACTAAGTTGACATGGCAACGGTTCACAGGGCAATTTCTCACACGTTACTGTTCCGAATGAGCAAAGGCAGCGGCTGCACTGATCTTCACTGGTAAAGATCTCACCGTTTGGCCTACGGCGCTCATCGTAAAAGCAATCTGCACAGAAGTGTACAAAAGGTTCATATTGGCCATTGCATGAATCTAGGTTTAAAGGTGTAGAATACCTTTGAACTTTTACATTAATCAGCTTATCATGAACACTGTAGTCTTCCACTGATGTGTCTAAAGTAACTCCAGCAATAATTGGCCTGGATTGGCCTGGCCATGCAAAGTAAAAGCTCAACATTTTGAACAGGTCTAGAACATGGGTGCCAACACTCCAGCATTGCTTTGGGGGACTGGGGAGTAAAAAGTCAGAATAAAGAACATGTACATAGACAAAAAAGTGATGCTGCTAAAAATTTGAGTTCAGGTTTTGCAGTAGTATTATGTGTACATCTCTGAACAGTTCTCCAGGCAACAATTTGACTATTTTGTCCAGGTATTTTAATTTACTGTCAATATGACGTCTTCTGTTCCAGATTTCTCCAAGTTCAATTGGAATTCTGTGTCAGTTGTACAAATATTTTAATAAGGGGAGACGGCCACTGCCTACATAATGACATAAACTAAGTTTAAATCAAAGACCTTCTACCAATCACAAAATGTACTTATGCATCAATCCTACTAGAAAATGAAACTTTGGGACTTTTACCTGTACAGAGTGGACAGCACTGGCTGGGAGGTGTGTAGCCATGCTGGCAGGTAGCCAAGCAGGGTTGTAGGTCTCGACAGGTAACTACACGCTCCTGGCAGATGCACTGCTGACACTGATCATCTGAGATCCAACGCTCCTCATTATTGTACTGGATCCCATTGTATACACATTCTGAAAGGGGATGGAGGTGGCCAGTGAAGGTCAAGGGGGCAGTGGATCATGCCATCAATGGTCCTTGGGTTTTAGGATAGTGTTTTCAAGGATGTAGTTGCGTCAGGGAGCTGTTAATTTTTAATTCTGCATGGGTTTGTGTGTTCAGTGTTGTCCAAGAGCTCACAAAAATGTGCATGTTGTGGGGGCAGCAACAGTTTCGTTTGCCTGCTTGTTAGTGCCTACAACAGGTTTTTCATGCAGTACAATAGAGCTGAAAAAGGCAGCAGTCTTTGCCTTGAAGCACATAAATTCATGATACCCCTGGGAATAAAACTGTCATAGGTCCTCACAGTTCACCACTGGTCAATCACAATTCAATAAATTTCAAGTCAAACTATGTGCAATTCATATAAACAACGATGAAGGTATTGCTGGTCCTTAGATGTAACTTGACTTGGGACTGATTTGTGATTGACTGGATTACAACTCAAGTTCCAAGCAACAGTCTCTTCAGCAATGAGAACTGACAAACATCCCTGAATGCCATTTTGGTGCTGTAGACTAAGTCGCTTCGATGAAACACATTAAGGAACCTTCAAGTGTTGTACAGCTTCCTTGACATTTGAGATGAAAAGTTGAAATAATCAATGAACTTAAACCACAGATTTACAGGATCAAAGTACTTACTGTCAGTGCATTCTGGGCAGCAAGCTCCAAGCAGCAATATTGGGTTATCGCATGGAGGCCTGGTACATGCAATGGGATTACAACGCACTTTGCTGTCCTGTCCAATCAAAGAAGCATATGGTGTTCCTGTTATAATTTCTTCAAAGAATAATTAAATAAATGCTGTTTGTGATCGCGTTGGGGTGTTTGTATAATTTCCTACTGTCATATTTACAAAATATCTGTATAACAATTTGAAGATTTTCAGGTAACCCACAAAATGTCCAGACTTAAATTGTTTCTAAATGAGTAAAAAATCAACACTTGTAACCTTCTGATACTAAGCCCACAAAACATTTCATGTTCCATCTTAACACTTGGTGTGGTGTGTATGGACCACTTGGCTGGTTCAACAAATCAAACACATCAAAACATTCACATTTAAAACTCTGAAAGGAAGATCATTTCTTGAATATTAACGCAGTTCAAAACTAGAATAATCCTATACTCACCAGACAGGAGCATCTAAGGCATGGATTGGCCATTGGCGTAAAGAAATCCCCACTATTAAATGCCACGTCCTCATAGACACATCCACCCTCATCGGTGCAGCGAGGGCAGCATTCACCCTCCAGAGTGGCCTGAGGCTGACAGGTCAGGTCAGGACACTCAACAGCAGAGCAGACCACGCTACCTTGCAAACAGGAGCATATTGTACACACATCCAGCTGGAAAGACTGGCCATTGTATAACTGGTCCCCTTCATATAAACAGCCTACAAAATGATAATACAGAGGAAAGTTAGGGCCTTATGTTCACCATGGACTCCATCCCTTGTGCAAAACATGCCAAAAAAATCAGTTACATGGCAAGCATACTTCAATTTCACTAGTCTAGAATGATCATGTACCCAGGTTATATTGACTGGCATAGTTTCATCACTCAAATACTATCTGGTATTCAACTTGTTTAACACAAGTACACTATGTAGAGTGGGGTGCATGTGTGGGATGAGCATCAAATGACAAAAAGCTACATGTATAACCAAAGTGTCAGTAAAGCTCACAATAATCAACTGGTATTGAAGGTTACAGGCAACATTGCAGTAAATTCACACACAGGAAGATTTTTTTCCTGTAATAATGCTAGAGGTATACAGGGAGAACAGTTTATGACTGATAGGGCTTTATCTACGTTAAATAGAGTAAATAAAACAAAAATTATATATTATACAAATTAAAACGAAACTCAACCAAGAGCTGTCTATGCTGTATACGTATGTGCAATGTGTCCTACACCTTTGTACACTGGTGACCTTCTTGTCTTGGAAGTGTAAATTGTAAAGTTAAACTTGTTAACATTTATGACTGATGACTTTTGTACAAATTCATCACTGTAATATCTATAATTAATGCTTGCCTGGACCATGGCTGCATCACTGCCCATATGTGACCTGTTTCCAAAAAATGAGCCTTAAGTCAGAATATATGATAATTGAGTTATTGGTATTTTTGAATTCAGCAGAGAAGAGCTTTTCCAATGGTGTATGCATGTAACATATTCTTGTGACATTATTCTGGCAACTCTTGCATCTTAGTTTCTGCCATTGTTGTTTAATATCTGGTCATGCTAAAAAAATTATAATTAAATAGAAAGTTTACTCTTTCCAAATATTACAAAACCCCCAAATTGACCTCCCCTTCAATTTTTGACTTTGAACAGTAATAATAGGAAATGGCAGAGTGCAACTTTACGCTCATTTTGTCATTACAAGTCACATACGGCTATCTCTAATAGGCCACACAGACTATCAAATAAAGATTTGTCAAGACTGGTGTTCTTTTTTATTGTTCTATTACCATCACAAGTAGGGCAGCATTCCTCCGCTAACTGTATGGGATGTGTGCAACGAGGAGCAGAGCAGGGTACCGGCTGACAATCTCGGTTACCATTCTGTGCGAATAAAAGACATCATCACTATCTACACACCATCATCAAGACCTACAGAAACAATGCAGAACTTGCAACTTCGATCACGACAGTGTCAAATGATTACTGAGAAAAACCACCTACCCGACAAGTGCAGATTAAGCAAGGATCAGGATCGAAGACCCTCCCACCATTATGGATGAACACACCTCTTATAAGGCAATCTGAAAGGTACAAGGAAACCAAACAATATTACTCATGACCATATCTACATGAAAACTCTAAGAGGTAACTACAAGAAAACATTTTTGATCTATTATCCCAAAAGTACACACAAGCACGTTGGGCACTGCTAACAAGCTGTGCTTTTGCACTTCAACTTCACCCAGACTATACATCTGTGAACATAAAGTTCTTACAATTATGAAACAATCAGATTTGTGAAATTTATATTGCATGTATGCTCAGTTTCACTAGCAGTAACCCTCTAACTTCTCTGGTGACTTCAAGTGGCTTTGGGACAATAAACCTGTTTTACTAAACACTTGTATCTTCATCTGTATCAACCAAACTCTTGGGAGTGTGCCTTTATGTTATTTAGCTTTCTTTATGTGTCTCCTTTATCCCCAAGGATATCTTGAAGCATCACACAACACAAATTGAACTGCCATTAATAAGCAATAACTGAGGCCACTGTCCAGTCTTAATTCTACCAAACCCATTCGTTCAGGGCAACTTTACCACGCCCTTATCTGGGTATTTTTAGAAGCAAGATGTCAACTTCACCCATTACGAAGACAAATCAATGTAGGGTTTGAGGTAATTGAGACCTGGCCAGCCAAACATTCTGCTGGTCAGCTGAACTATTCAAAGCTTCATGAAAGTCCAGCTAATGAGAACAGTTTGTGCTCTAATTTCACTACAAAGAACAGCTGGCTAAATCAGTGTTTGACTGATTCAAAGATACACTAAAGTGTCTATTGAGTAATTTCAGTAGGTATTTAAGAGCCCATATCAAGGTCAGATTTGAGTCAACCCAACATTCTCCTAACAGTGGCCATACAGGCTTCCATGAGCTACATCTACTTGAAGCATTGCTGATGTAGCTGTATAAGGGCAAGCTATTAATAAATATTCAGGGCTTGTTAACCCATAAATCCATCAAATCCTAGCTGTCAATCTGTCTAAGGAGCGGTCTCAAATAAACTATCAATAGTATACAGCAACCAGCAGTGTCGCAATCCATTTATTACAGTTGTATAAGTGAGAACCTTGCATTGAAGATGCAAAATCTATCCATACCGTTTAGGTAATACGTACAAAACAAAACGTATAAAGAAGCATTTCATCAAATTCGCTAATAACTCATCAAATGAAACAAATGTTACTGCATTCTGCTTAAATGGGAGGGGGGGGAGCTCCATATCAGCCTATCCAGCCCTATGTTGGTGATAAACTTGATAGCTTTGAGTTAGAACAGCAGCAGTAAAAAAATTCTGGAGGTTGCAAGCTCCAATCCCACCGCGGTCCATTTCTTTGTTTTATTTGATATGAATCTTATTTCAAACTAATGAATTAATTTCTTACCATCACAGGCAGGGCAGCACTGGCCTGGTACTGTGGCGGGATACTGACATCTTAGTACGGGACATGGATCCAAACGACAATTCACTGAACCACTCTGAAACAAAGGAGATGGGTTTGAACGTAACCCAGTGATCTTAATCACAACAGTTAAATTGCAATTCCTGGGAGTTTCTGAAGAAAAAGCTCTAAATTATCACTATGCTTTACTATGGACACTGCAATCAACAGACATTTAAATTTCACTCTCATGAAGTAACCATATTCAGACTTGAAAATAAAACTCATTAATTGTCATTGGCATTCAACAGCATTCAACAGAACAAACCACCACATCAAGACAACAGCTTCATGCTCTGTTCTGAGAAAGCCACGTTATACAACTGTTGACCGCTTCTAATGGAATACCAGCCTCCAAGCTCATTTGTTGTGCATTTTGTTTTCCCAAGGCAAAGCAGATGGAAAACAGAACACTCAATAGTGCATTGTATGTCATCTATGCTTACCAGGCCAACAAAAATTCCTAAACACCAGCTGAGCTCCTACCTACCTACCTGATCAACCAAGAGAACCCACTCTACCATCACAGGTCCCCACTTGTACTCATGGTTGGAGAGAGGAAACATCATGCAAGTGGGGCTGAAGTGACTTGCTAGGTATGAAGCCCTGACCCTATGGTCGGGAGTGACAAACCTTATCCATGGAGCTCTACTGGTGTAAAGCACATTACAACATGCAAATATGGCAACCCCCAGTCATTGACTGAACTTGCTGGGGGAGTGCAACATGCACAATGCTCGAATGACCGTCACAGAGGGTGGGTGGGAAATGACTTGCCCGGCCATGACATTTGAATAGCGGAAGGAGAGGTGGGGGGGTGGGACACCATATGACACTATACAGGGGGCGCTGTTCGTGATACAGATGTACATCATGATGTACAACATTCCTGCACAATCTTTTATCAGAACGGTATATTTATGGTCTATTCTTATACTTCTCCCGTTTGAGTGCTATTGAATACATTTTGGTTGATTGGAAGTCCCAAAAATTCTTTTTAATTTTTTTCTCAACATAAAAATGTGGGGGGAAGGGGCTTATTTAATAACCCCCAATCCCCAACCCCCAATTAAATTGTGTTGGGGATGTATACCCTCCACCCACCTCAGATTTATGCCCATGCATGAGTGCACTCCATGAAAGGTAACAAAGCTACTTACATTGCACATACAAGTTGTACATGGGTCAGGCTGCCACGTTGAGCCATCTGCATGAGTTGTGGTTCCATTCAAACAATCTAACAGACATAATCCAAAAACAAAACAGGAACAAAACAAAAATATCACTGTTGAGTGGTCACACTACACTTCAGATACAGTTATCTTGAACTTAACAAATGAAAAAAAATGGTAAACTGTCATGAAATTTATTTGGACAAACTGGGAAGTTGCCAACAAGGGCAAAATACACGTAACAAGCAGCTATGTACGAGAATTTATTAGCTGAGTGTCATTTATGTTGGAATCCCTCTAGTCACATGGTAATCTATCAAATGGCATGCTGGCTGGGGTCCTCTAATGCTAAACCAACTTCATTTAGCACCCAGGTGCTCTCTGAAGTTAAATTCCTTTGCCAGGTAGGCTTGACTGTGTAATGCATTTATCTTTACATATCTGGTTTTTTGTGAACGCTACTTTAAGCTTGTTTTTTGTTGATGGTTTCCTTGGCTTTTTTCTTAAGTTTGCTTCATATACCCCCAACAATTGCCGCTAAAACTGTTTTTCAGAGTTGGAATGACCTTATGTGGAGCTAGCTTAGTCCACATAACATTCAAAAAATGCTAAATACGTTTGTTATCATATCTCATGCATGTATTAAAAACAAATATACCTTCCCTGAGGCTCTGACCACAGTTGACTTCTTGGCCATTCTCATACCAGGTGGCCAAACAGGTGCCACAGAAATTGTAGAAGCAGACTGCATTGGGATGGGAAGAGCACAGGGTGTCACAGGGATTGACGGGGCAGACTACATTGGAAGTGTCACAAACACAGCTGGCTAAAAAGGTCTCCACGTCAAAGCAAAACCTTGGAAAGGAAAGGTACACAAATGGCTTGATAAAAAGGACAGTAATGCAGACATCAATCCCAGATCACATGCACTTGTTGTAAGCAATCTCATTTGTGTTTCTTACTTGAGGAATCCCTGGATTATTTTTTACCATTTTCCTGTTTCTTCCAAAAGCCCTAGTGTCAGATGGAAATCAAGTCACAGAGTGTTGAGAACAAACAAATTTTTTTCACAACAGCTCCTCATCAAGAATGCGCCAAATTGGAATTCAAAAATGAAGCATGTCATAGGTCATTAGAGAACATAGCAAGACAGTTGTCACAGGCACTAAACTTCATAAGTGCTGGCATGACATCAGGTGCTTTATTTGGGCTAGACTTCGCCTACCTGAAATACATGTACATGTACCAATTTGGCTAATTAAGCCTTTTTTCCATTCTGCTCTTTCTTAGGGAGAGGGGTTTTGTATGGTCTCCAAGAACAAGATTTCAACTTCTAAGTTGACGTTTTAGGCCGAGTTAGATCAGCAACAATTTATCAACCATTTGTTGATTTTGCCTCCTAACCTATGCATAAAATATATCCTGTGTCATAGGCCAACTTGACAGGTGGTTGAAAAAAGCTGGGGGTGGATTCTGCCCCACCCTCCTCCACGTTTTTCTGATATTGCTGCAGTGCATTTATTCATGAGCCGAGCCTTTAGGAGTTTTTAAAAACTCTTTGTGGTCATTTGGACACCAATTTTGGGAAATAAAAAAAAAACATTCTAGAAAAAGTGCCCATTTTTCCAAGGCCAGCCAACAATGTGTACATGTACTTTTCTACTGCTGTGCTCAGTGCATGTTGACTAGCAGGCATGTGGCCTTGAACTGTGAACATCAAATGACCGTAACAACAAAACCATATATGAGACGGAGTAGAAACTTCACAGTCTTACTGATAAGGAGTGCCTTTACATGCATGCCAGGTTAAAAGAACAGCATGGGACAGTCAAGTTCTTAGTGGGGCAGAATCCCCTTCCCTCAGCTGTGGTACCTGTTTGATGTGACAGAGGATGGGAAGCTGGTTAGCTGGGTCCTACCCCCAGACAGTGGCTTCTGTTGAAGACTCCATGTCTGCTCAAACCACATCAGTGGCAGCTGGCCTGGGTGGGGGCAGGTGTGGGTCACGCCCATCAGAAACTGCTTGGTTTGTTGAAACAGGAGCTCATCCAGCTGCGCCGAGATGACCAAGACAAAGGGACCATCATAGAAAAGGTTGCAATTGAAGCTGTCCATCCCCTGCATGTTGAAACCAAAGGCATCGTAGCCCTGGGCATTCAAGCCATTACGGTCCAGGCAGTACTGATCATAGCCATTGGCATTGTAGCGTCCCGTAGTGTCACGGCTGCCAGAGTTACTGTAGCCATTGCGGTCATACCCTTGCGCACTGTAGCCTTTCTCATTGTAACCATAGCGATCATAGCCATAGATGTTATAGCCAAAAATGTTGAAGCCATCCCTGTTAAAGCCTGTGAATGGTATAAGGGGAAGATCAAGGGCGAGTGATACTTTTGGACTAACAATTTCTACCAAGAGGCAATTCAAACCTCTCTGCTCTAGTTTAGAAACTGACAAAGTTTAAACATCAAAGATGCAGGATCTACTGATTTTTTTCTATTAAGTGTTCAGATGCTGACTTAAACTGCTTTAAACAGCTACTCTTACCATCTCGATCAAAGCCGTATTTGTTGAATCCAAACTGGTCATGCCCACTTCGATCATAACCTTCATAATCGTAGCGTCTCTCTGGACCATACGTGTACAAACCTCGCTCATCATATTCCCTATAAATGTTGTATCCTTCCACATTGTATCCTGCCCTAGAATTTAAGAAAGCATATTGAATAAAATTCAGCAATGTGTAACCTGGGGCTCCTTTAAATGCCAACTGACAGTTTATTGTGTTTACCTTCGTCTTAGAAACCTTCGGAAAAGAGGACTTGAAGAAGATTTTACACGATTGCAATATCATTTGGGATCAGAATTAAAGCATTCCAAAGAATTTCCTTGAAAACACATTTTTTTAAAAGTAGTCAGTTATGGTCTCTGTAATTTTTATGTTTCCTTTATGAAAAAAGACCTCTATACTGATGACATTACACTCTGTTGATGTGTACTTTCCTATGGCGTACAGTAGACTGTAGGCACACAGGAAAATACATATGGAAACAAAGTGTGATGTCACTGTACATAGGCCTATTCTAGCCAAATTACTACGTTCTGCATACCTGTCAAAGCCCTGTCTGTTGAATCCACTTCTGTCGTAGCCTTCACTGTCATATCCATCTGAACCAAACACTGAGAAGGTATGATTACAGGGACTGCCTTCAGTTGGTAACACATACGTCACACAAAGCTGTGACTCTGAACGCAGCAAATCCCTGGGCCTGGTGTTGAAGGGTACCAGCGGTACATCCAGCATAGCTGTCGGAAAGTTGCCGTCATTGCCTACCTTTTGCTGCCAACGCCAGAAGATCATGTCAACGTAAGATTGCAGGGCATAAAAAACAGGGTCATAGGGTGCCCCTGAGCTGGCTACGTGACCCCCTATATAGTTGAAAACATGCCCCATGATGGTCTGCATGCACATGCTGAAGGTGTCAAAGTCGTTGGATGCCATTGCTATGGCAATGTCAATCTTAGATGGCAGTCGCATGGAGTAAATGAATTTACGGATTAGGCACGGTTCCCAGGGTGAACCACCTCGGAATGGGTGGTCTTCCACACACGATCCTCGGCCATCACCTCCAAAGTAGTTGGGCTGCCAGATAATGGCTCTGGAAAGGTCACTCACATCAGTAGTGAAATCATAATAAGGCAGAGCAATGGAACAATCAATCTCCTGCAATGTAAACAAAACGAAAATGATATTGGAAATGGAAAAGGCAAATGTTAAATAAGAAAACGAGATCTTGTTTGCTAAACAGGAAAAGTCATTCAAATCATTCACTTGCATAAGATAAATGCAAAAGCGAAACTTGTCCAATGCAAGATGGTGACAGTGTTGAATGTTCCTTCTCAAAACCAATGAATACTTTATTTTTCAAAGTTAATGTCCAACATGATACATTTCTTGTCTGCAAAACTGCCCTTCTGAAGGGTTTTGTGAAACTGTATTTGAACTGATGGATCAAACAGTAACCACGCAGGAATTGACAAAACTGGATACAATTCCTTTATGTATTATCCAAAATCAAAAGATTCAAGGCACTTTGCACCTAAGGACATAAACCTCTAATAAGTTTCTAGGACAGTAACACATAGGACTCGCACACACATAGGTGACTTGTACACATGCCCTATCTCTTTCACAGTTCCTTTTGCTATGTTCACTTGCGGAAAGCGTTTTTGAATCCTTGTTCTTGACAACACTCGGGTTGACCCGACACGAGAACAGCGGTCTCAAATGTGACAAACAAACCCAAGAAGTTGTTCGTTGATTGGTTTCACTCCCCGATTGTTGGAGGGTTGAGCAAGGTGCAGCTAGAACAAAATGGTGGACTGTGCAGAATATATTCAAAGGTCCTGGTCAAAGGACAAACATGATATTTGAATTCTGATTCCTGCATGACCAGAATTACATGAACATTTTCAGTAAACCCAAGAAATCTTGCCCCTTTCCCCCCGGAAAGAAGGGCTGCTATGAGGGCCATATTTTGATCTGTTTCACATTCATCTTCCGAATGGTCCTCAAATAATTGCAAAATCTGAGATTTGTCGGCCACTTTGAATTTTTTTGTCTTAACATACCCCTGCCCGTTCATAACCTGCTCAAGAACACCATTCAAGTGTTACTCAAGTGTTGTCAAGAGCAAAGATTCGAAAACACTCAGAGAGTCTAACTAAAGGAACTGAACTGTGTTTGGTCCCCTGACTCCACAATGGTCAATCATTGTAGAAAATATTGCACCTTGACATTGCCTCATTATGTAGAGAAGACCACGATGTGACAAGAGATGCCATAGAAATCTTGTACAAGCAACTCTAACTCAATGGTTTCCCACTCAGGTGTGGCAACAGTCATGGTGACATGATTGATAAAAACAAATAGTTTAAGTAATTCAATGATAACTTGGTTTAACCAAATGAAATACTGGTTCTGTAGTGCAGACTAAGCCTAAGTCTGATTCTATCTAGTTGTGGAAAAATTGATGAGAAAAGTCTGAACCTGTAAGCGCCTCTCCATCTGGCGTAGGAAGACCCGATGCCAAATCAAGTAGGCTGGGATGTTGTTAGCCTCCATGACATGCCGCATGTAAGTATCTCGAGCTTGCTCCCAAGGGTTACCCAGATCAGACGAGCGTAGCTGCTGTACGGCTGCTTGAAAGCGATCCAGCTCATCTCTTGTCATGTCACGCAGTTCCTTACGAACTGTCATTTCAACACACCTAGGGGTACCAGATTTGCAAACAAACACTCAGACTGGACTTGCTAAGCAAGATATGCAGAAATGACTTCTCAAATTTAGTAGATTTTCTTAGCATCACTTGGATGTGGCATATCAATATTTCTGTGAATATGATTTGGTTTGTCAAAACAACTAAAGGCCTCTTAATTCTTCTAAGACTTGCTCCAACAAAATCATGAAATTTAGTTGCAAAAACTAAGCTTCATGATTTTAATATCAATGGATACAAATGAAAACAAGGCTTCCCCGTGATTGACAACACTCTTTAAGTTTCAAATACAAGATCTTATGTCATTCCAGTGGACAAGAACAATGGGAATTTGAAAGATTTGTCAGTAAAGAGCCTTGTCTTGAAGGTGAAGTCTGGAGACGAGTACTGACATCAATATCTGCTGGAAGCAAGTAACAACAGAGAAGGTCGAAAGGATGAACACTATCAGGTCTTCTGTGTCAATTCAACATGATTTTTCACCTGAAACTTAAAAGACTAACATAACATTTGGTATGATGACTAACCAATAGAAATATACCAAGAAATGACATTTCATTTGGTAATATTGATCGTTAATTTTTCAGAAATAGGTCAACAAACTTTGTAACATTTAGCATACTTTCAAATTTCAGATATTTGTTTATCAGAAGGAATAGTCTTCTCTGTATTTGTTGAAGTTCATGATTACAATGATAATGTTGCTGATGGCAATAGTTGACAAGGCCAACAACAATGGCAAAGTCAGTACTGACAGCAATAAAGACAGTGACCATAGAGTTTGTATTGAAACCTACACAGAATTGATTTGGAAAGAAGTAGAAAAACATAAACCAATGTAAGGCTGATATATCAGGATCTACCTACACACAACATGGACTCGAGCAGAAACAAAACAACTTGCTTGAAATCAACTAGGCTACCCGGATTTCATTTAATAGCT